GTGTGTTTTTATATATATATATATATATATATATATATATATATATATATATATTTCAGCTATTTTTCATTCTTTTGACTAATATTTCTTGCAACAGACCACATACTGCCAGCATTTGCATGTCTTGACATTTTTCAGTCTACTTTTCTCATCCTTCGTAAACATCATACCAAGGTACACATATTCAGCTACATGCTATAGAGGTATTTTTCCCATATAACTTGTAACCGTTTACTCTATTTTCCCTGTCAAACCCTAACTTAATTTTCAGGTCCACGCTCCTTGTTACATCACATAATCTAACATTTGGGGTAAATCATTTGGGTTCTCAGCCAACAAAATTGCATCATCTGCAATTAAAAGTGCATGCATGTTCATATCCCCAACCCACATAAGTCTAACATCACCATGAGCATTCCCTCCATTTTGTCCATAAATACATTAAAGGTGGTATTTTACATCCTTGCTTTACTTGGCTGGACCACTGGCTATACATTCCATTTGTTCTCACATAGGTTTTACTTCCATCATATATCTCACTTACTGCACTCAGCAATTAACATTCAATTCCATCTTTATCATATGCCTACTCTAAATTAACATACAATAAACTTTGTTTCTCATACACGTCTCAGTGACCTGCTGAAGAACAAAAAGTCTGCCTGCATACTTCCTACCCAACCTAAAGCCATACTGCAGTTTCAGTTTTTGTTCGCTGCCGTCTCTCGTACCTTTGCAATCAGAATTCTGTTGAAAACCTTCCCAGGCAGCTCCCAATTTAATACCCTGCAGTTTTTACACTCAGTCTTGCTAACTTCCTCTTGTCTCTTTCTCTTGTATAAAGGGACCGATGGTAGCTTTCTTCCAATTGCCAGGTACAGATGCAGTTTTCACAGACAGCTTAAAAATATGTCAAAACCATTGCACAAGCAAACCACACCCATACCATTTCTCCAGCTATGTAATTTATACCTGCAACTTCATTATTTTTTCAAAATTCTTACAGAGTTGATGACTTTTTGTCAATTATTTCTTGGACATTAACATATCATTCATTTCAATTCCATACTTCAGCATATTTTTAATCTATTGCCATGTTTCAACATACTAACAGCACTTACAACTTATTTTTCATTTTTACAGGATACTAATATATCATGAATTTTAATTTTACACTTTGACATGTTACTGTCATTCCCCTACAAATCTCTAAAATACCTATGCCAGATTTCTAGCATGTTTTTAAATCATGAATTGTAAACGCTCATTTTTCTAAGCAGGTACTCACCAAGCAATCACTATTTTCATTCATTCTTGGTTCTCCAAATGATCCAGTTACTTGTTCTGTTCTTTCATGACTCATTCCCACCCCTTCATCATCACCTATGCAATACTTTTTCTCCTAGATCACATTGATTCATAATGTTGTATGGTTTTTCCCAAAACACATCCCAGGTTCTTCCATTCTCACCATTCACTGGGACATCACCTACAACTATCCCCCTTTTATGCAACCATAGCACTATATATTACATCAATTCATATCTTCTGACACTTAAATGCTGACTTCCCCCCACAGAACAAGTTTTAGTAAGATCATAAGAGAAAGTATTCTAGGAGAAAGTATGTTGCCATCCTTAATTGCATGATTCCCTTCTATGCTAATGTCACTTCGTTTGGACTGGTGAGTTTGGCGCACGTGACCCAGTAGGTCACAAGCACAACCAAAACCTAGTTTTACCCCAAGCATCCTCCCGCTATTCTGTGCAAGCTAGAATTTTCCCTTGTAAGCCACAGCTCACCAAGTAGGACCTATATACTGTAAGTCTACTGACACCTACTCCGGATATGGGACAGTGCTTGGACTTGCCGAGGGTAACATTCTGGTCACTCAAACAGGGATCTGATAGTAAAGGGTTAACTCCACCTCTTCTGAGCTGAGTCTTTTGCCATTCTACTATTCCAAGGTGCATTGGTTTCATCCGAAACTAGTTTAACCATTTTTTAAAATCAAATTCCCTGTAATGCTGATTAAAAAAAAAACTTGCCCCGGCAGAGGATGTAAACTAAAATGTATAAAAGCAATATTTCCAAAAACAAAAGCCCCCCCCCCCCGCCCCGCATGAGGCAGGTACTGCTTTAACTTCTTGTTTCCAGTATCATAAATAGTTGATGTCTTACTATGAAATGAAACTGTTGGGCTCACCTTTTGGAGACCAGAATGGTATGTATGTATGTAATGTATGTATGTAATGTATGTATGTATGAATGAAACTTATCCCTGCCCATCTCCCCCCAATGGGGGACTGTGGGCGGCTTACAACATATTAAAACAACAAATAAATATACAGTTAAAATTTATAAGAGAACACATTTACACAGAATAAAAGGAAAAGGAAAAATCCAGGAGGCCGATGGAAGCAACACCAGACCTCTAGGGGGCC